GACAGTTCAAGCTCTAGCCAATCAAACGGCGTGTATGCTGGGAGAGACATACCGCAGGTCATTTCCTCATATTCCAAAAAATGGAGGAGAAATTAGCGGTAGCGAATCAATCACCCGGTGCTTTATGACCAGACCTACCGGGATATAAACCGGAGGAGCCAGGCATGGAGGGAGGTGGCAGAGACAGTGGTAGGTTTTCGCCTGTTTTGGGGAGTTTATATCCAGTTTACTTCGGGCTTTTTTGCTTCGTATGTCGCGGGCGGGAGATTCATGTGATTGGTTGTTCGTGCCTTGCTCGCAAAAAATCCTCAAGCTTCAGATACGCCCACCTCCAAGATTTTTTTAACGCTGCTGTGTAGACGGTCCGTAACACTATATCAACTTAAGGCTGAATTTCCATTTTCCACTTTCATAGTTCTTACACAGACTTTGTTCTGCTTCCTTTGTAGCGCTGGCCGAGGTGCTGGGCTCTAAAGTGTGGCTCTCTAGAGACAAATACAACATCATGTGCTGTCTGGAGTCGGAGCAAATCAAACAACGTATAACCACCGACCTGAAGGCCGCCCAGGTCCATGTGCTGCCCATGATGCACCTCTCCTTCAAAGTAAGTACAGCAGTCGTTTTTTTCCAATTCTTATGTGTTTTTTTCCAATTCTTATGTGTGCCTTTTATCTTTTCTTATGTATGCCTTTTATCTATTATTGTAATATTATATTTTATTATAATGTTATGTTTGCTGTGAAGCACTTTGGTAAACCCTCTGTTTTTAACATGTGCTATAAAGTGGATTGGATTGGACAATTTCATTATGTAATACACTACTTAGTGAGATGAAGGAGAACAACACTAACTAAAATAATGATATACAATTTCTCAAATGGTGTGAAAATTGTATACAAATGATTCTGTTTATCAAAGGCTGTGTCTTCTTATTTAAGGACAGTTTATTTAGATGTGCTAACACGTCTTTTATTCTGCTTGTGCTCGACTCATAATAAGCAAGTATCCGGGACAGCAGTTTAAATAATTAGGGAATGCTTATTATGATGACCAGGCACATCATCTCTCTCTAAAAGGACCAACGCGTTTTAATTTGCCATCTGTAGAACCACAGATAAGTCCCAGAGTCGGTATAATTCAAGCATCACTAGGCACAGAAAGGCTGAGTCGGGAGGAAAAAGATTCAGTTTGGGTTTGCAGTGAGCCCTTTGAGAATGAATGTTTGAGAATATCATCAAAAGTGCTTCTATAACTGGCACAGTCACCTTGAAAGAAATGGATATTAGATCTATAAAATGTTTGCATTGTGAATAACCTCTTTGCAGTTTTGTTTGCAAACAGGGGATGAAATGAACATTGAATAACTTTTTCGTTGGATGATGAAGCTTCCTAGCATTGGAGCACAAAAGCTGATATCATTTTAGATCAGATTGATGTATATATTTAGCAGCTGCTCTTTGTTGTTAGCTGTGTTTTCAGGTACAGTGCAGCTCTGTTTGAATATGAAAAGGCTCACTTCCATCCCTCCTTCTCACCCACATCTTATCTCCAGAAACTGCAGGACTACCTGGCACGCTTCTCTGGAAAATATGATCAGCTGGTGGCCTTCAAGCCCACAGGATGGACCTTCAGCCAGAAGGTGGAATCAGTGGAAGATATTCAGCCTCATATCAATGGAAACATCTCCATTTATGGTACAGACTTATCTTTATTTCATTTTCTTTTTTACAACATTTATTTATCAGGAGTAACAAACGTACATTCTCACACAGTATAAACATAGAGAAAAACACAAAAACTTTGGGGTGTGTGTGTGTGTGTGTGTGTGTGTGTGTGTGTGTGTGTGTGTGTGTGTGTGTGTGTGTGTGTGTGTGTGTGTGTGTGTGTGTGTGTGTGTGTGTTGTGTGTGTGTGTTGTGTGTGTGTGTGTGTGTGTGTGTGTGTGTGTGTGTGTGTGTGTGGTGTGTGTGTGTGTGTGTGTGTGTGTGTGTGTTGTGTGTGTGTGTGTGTGTGTGTGTGTGTGTGTGTGTGTGTGTGTGTGTGTGGTGTGTGTGTGTGTGTGTGTGTGTGTGTGTGTGTGTGTGTGTGTGTGTGTGTGTGTGTGTGTGTGTGTGTGTGTGTATACAAGGGGCCGTGGTGGTTGTATAGATGCTAAGATTGATGCTAATGAATCAGTGTTTGAAGGTCTTCTGCATTATTCAGAGCTGTTAATGACAATCCCCCTCTTTCTTTTGTACTGAGCATAAAACAGAGCCTTTTAATGGCGAATAATCCTAATTGTCTTGTTGCCACACACTGATTAAATCAAATAGCAGCTTTTTTCTCCTGCCAAGAAGATGCTGCTGCGTGTGTCTTTAGTCATGGACAGCTCTGCCGGACAGTTGTCTTGGCAGTAAACCCCAGCTCTGAAAAGACTTAATTTCACACTGCAGATGAAGCCTGTTTCATTTCCTGAGCGGATCCATCAACAGCACCAGCCATCTGGCCTGTAACTCACAATCACCAGCCGGAGCGCATCGTTCCTTCCTCCTCAGCAGTTAGTGTGTCAGTCAGGCAGAAGATCATTTGTGCCTTTCTCTCTCCTCCTTGTGTTCAAATCTCCTCCCTCTTGCTCTTCCCAGCCATATGCTAATATTGCTCCTAATATTATTCTCCGCATGTGGGATCGTTGACTGTGTTCGTGAGTGGGTTCAGTTTCAGGTAGATCTGGTTAAAGGGAGGATTACGAGTACGATAAGATGTCTTAATATCTCCGCAAAACAAAAAACGAGACATATGATAGGCTGATCTTATCATCAGTAACTCTCTCCGTGTGCTTTTACAGTGGAATATTCTGAGCCCGAGGGTCACTTCTGGCCCCTTTTGTTAGAATGTGCCCAGTTGCTTGTCTTACTATTCCCCCTTATTTTTAGATATGGTCTGAAAGTCTGAAAAGTGACTTATTCCCAACAGGACTTAATAAATAAAGTAATAGATACCTATACTTGAACAACCCTTAGTTTATCTGTGGATTGATCATCTGTTCTCAGCATGGATACATTGTTTACATGTTGATGGTAACCCCTGTGTTTCCCTGACAGGAGTCCCTTACAGCGAACACAGCAGCTTCCTGGAGATGAAGCGCTTCGTCCAATGGCTTCAGCCGCTGAAGATCATCCCCACAGTGAACAACGGCAGCTGGGCCAGCAGGAAGGCTATGGAGAAGTGCTTTAGTGAGTGGCTCAGCGAGGCTAAAGCTAACACCAATTAATTCTCAATGATTTATGACCAAAATTATATTTTAACTAAACTAATGTTATTGCTTTTATTGAAGTTGCTTCAGAGTTCTGAGCTTTTACACCAACTTTGTATTGCAGTGCGTAGGTGGACATCATGAACTGAAACACAGCTAATGAAAAAAAAATGCGGTTGCACACGGATCATGTCAGTTAGACCTTACCCAGAAGTATTATATACGAAGGAACTGAATTGAATGGATGTGTTTACTGCCTGCTGGGGCATGTGTATTATATATAATGCAAACGCTGCCTTGCAATTGTGCAATTTGATAATTGTATTTTTGTATTTAATATTTGTATGCTTCAAATAAATCAATATTTCAGACATTCTTGTAACACTTGTACCTTTTGTTGCAACATGAAATGTAAACTTAATATAATTTTTTAAAATAAATGATTGTACAGGTTATTATGCAACAGCATCAACGCCTCCTCAAGGACTGTTAAGTGAGAATGCCCCTGATGTGATGTATACTTCACATTTTACAAAAGAATATGATTGAAAGTTGCCTTAACACTTCTTGTAAGTTTCCATCACTTTTTATTTATGAATTATCTCAAGGCATTTCATTAAACCTGTCGTCTCTTTTCCTATTTCAAATCATGCTTATTAGCCACTTCACTAGGTGGCCGATGTGATAACCACTGCATTACTGCCTCTGCCCACAGCAAGCCATTTCCAGTGAATCATTTCTTTTAGTAATGGCATATGTTATTCTTCCCTTAGGCATGAATAATATGTATGAAGTCCCAGCAAACTGATTGCCTGGGCCCGCTGCTTGTTGAAATGTCTTCCTGTTTTTTCAGCGTATGTCTTATTCATGTCTGATTTTTGGGAGGGAAATGTGTCTACAAATAATGAAGAGTCAATCATATGTACAACACATCACAGTTAAGAGTTGTTATTAACAATCTAATTGTATAATCCTGTATATTTTGTAAAGATAATGCAATTAAACATCCCATGTTCTGTGATTTGAAGAGAGGGTAAACTGGATGCTCAGGTTATTGCTTAAAGTGGACCTATCATGCTATATTATAATAATATAGTGTAGGACCATACCTATATAAGGCATATTTATACTTTTTTTTTTTCAAAATACCAAAGAGATCATGCATTTTAGCCATGCCTCATTTCGCTCAATTTGCACATTTTTACCCGTTTTAGCAAGGGCAGATTCAGTGAGAACAGCACCACCTACAGGCCTGGCATATGTACTACAGCGTCTCCAGCGCTTTCGAACGGCAATGGCCGTGGCTGTCTCCTCCTGATTGGTGGAGTTGGCCCAATAGCTGTAGCGCCACTTCTGTGACGTCATTGAAGTGTTCAAATCTGAATCAGTTTTTATCCGATCCGTTGCAGCCCCTTTTTTAGAGATTTGGGTATGGAGGAAAATAGAGAGGGTTGTGTTTTCTGACACTTGGTGAGTTCCCTGGAACACCGGGGACACATATTCATGTATAAAAGACGTACAAAAGTGCATTTTGCATGATAGGTCCCCTTTAAGCTGATACTGAATACCTGCCAACTTTGTATATTTAGACACCCTTCAGCTGTGACTATGCTTCTCTCAATAACAATGAAATGATAAGCTAGATAGTTATACTAGCTGTTATATACATACACTTTTTGAGATTTTGGAAGTAAAGGAGCTGGAATTATGTTAATCTAATCATGCTGCATTCCTTAGTCCAAAAAAGGCATTTGAAAAAATACAAATGGTCCATTTAACAATCTGGTAATTAGTTTTATATTCAAATACAATTAAAACATTCATTCAACACTGATTTGCAGCACCCTCTGAGAGGATGGATTTATTTATAACAGAGTATTTAAAGTACAGTAATGTCTCTCATCTCTGATTAATAACTCCATTTAAACTTAAAACAATCATCTTGATAAGGCGTATAAGATGCCATTAAAATATTAACAGTGTAAGATGTTTTTGTATTTGATGATAACAGTTATAAAGCTCGGACTGGATGGTAGGTAGCACTTCAAGTGAACCAGCCTTGCAGATAAGTTCCATCTGATGTTGTCTGTCGCGGAGAGGCATTGGTCACCAGACATCATTTAAAAAGGATTAAAAAACATCTTCCCAAGCTATATTAAAATTACAATCCAGCAAAGTGTCTTCAGCTTTAAATCGGAGAGAAAGGGATGAAACGGCCCAACGCTATTCCCTCTGCATATTAATTCACAAGACTCACCCTAAGGTGTGGTAGACGACATGAAATATATACTGGTTCTGTGATCTGTTTCGTCATTCATCCGCTCCTCATCACTGTCAAAGCAGACATATAAAGGAAGAATTATGCACATAAGCCTCACACAATAACAACAAAGGCATTTGGACAAACAATGCACCCGTCTATTTCAATTTCCTTGGACATGCATTAGATTACAATCTAATTTAATCACAGGTGCCACTTACTGAGCAAATTGGAATTTACCCAGTATTGCTCAGTGATGACATTCGCACAACAACAATGTTACAGAGATTAAAATAAAGCTTTAAAATTCACTTCAACTTTATATTATATATTTAATTCCTTCATTTGGATCATAAATGTTGATTCAGAGCATCTTTCTTCATCTTCATGGTCTTCAAATCACTTTAAGTCACTTCCTCTCTTCTTGGATAGAGGTTAATTATAAAAAATAGCTTTCTTACAAAGTGCATATACAATTTTCTACACATTAGGCCTTGTATTAAAAAAAAGACAATTTGTCTTGGGTCTAGGTGTTGTGAGAATGTTATTTTTTTAGTATCACAAAGGCGGTATGAGGAAATGTTTCAGTAAAAGCCTTTGTTTCCTTCCCGGTACAGCTTAGTCACTACAAAACATAATGACATTATTATAGGTCAATCTCTGCTAAAACTGCAAGTCATTGGCAACTAAATGTTTTTGATCTGTCCTCATGATCGTGAGTCATGAGATTTGGAAATCATTTTCTACTTCACTTTAACTTCCTCTATACGTTTGAATCAGGTAAACCTTAGAGTGATAGATCAATAGGAACTGCCTACATCCCGGGGGAAAGTACTGTCCGTTTGTAAGGGAGTCAATACATGGTACAAACCAACATATTGTGGAAGTAACTCTCATGTTTAGTTTGCATTCAGTCGATGCAGTAGCCGTTTGGTGAATGCAGCGGTGGGCATCCAGGCCGGCGCAGGATGGTCACTTTCACCTGAAGAAAGGGAAATAATTGACCTTTTACACAGTTATTGATATCATGAATGCTCAGTATATTTTGCCATTTTTTCTGGACGTACCTCATTCTTGAGAGACTTGCTGAGGAACATGTTGAACTCGTCCACGGTGGCGCAGTGCAAGTCATTGATTGCCAGAATTTCGTCTCCTTTGTGAAAGAGGCACACAGTCTGCGGCTGGCCTGTCCACGCAGACACACTACAATACACACATATACACACACACACATAGTTTTAGATTCATCCTGGAGCTCGAAATCACAGAGTAATTTACATTGTGCCTTTTTTGTACTTGTGCATCCATACAGATCTGTCCTTGTGTCGGAGCATTCTCTCCAAAATAAAGTCACATAACATGCAGAACAGTCGGCCGATAGCTGATAACAGGTAAGGCTTGCCCAGTGTTCTCTGCAATGCAATTCTACGGAGATATAACAGAATCTAGGTCAACTTCAGAGACAGTGATGATACTGTACGGCTGTCTTGATGTGTCGAGTAGGATTTGAGGAGCCACCGAATCTTTAGATAAAGAACATTACTGCTTGACCTGTTTTTGATAAATATTCAGAGAATGGCTGTGCTTCAAAATGCATTCAGCCTAAACACTTCTGTTATCCTTGATCAAACTTCAATAATCCTTCAATTTGTGAGACATGAGTTCAGTCTGGAGAAGCTTCCATGTTTTTCATTACTTTGCTCAAACATTTCCACCAGTCATCTTGTATTAAATGTCTTTTAAAATGTAAACCTATTAAGAAATGTGCCATCAGCAGATAAATGAAGCTCAGCGTAAGTTCAACCAGGAAGACCGTCTTTACTGATTCATTTACTATTTCCATGTTACTACTCTCTCTCCTCTCAATAAGTGATCGGGGGCGTCACTCCCCAGCTTAACCAATCACTTTGCTCTATTCCCACAAGCCTATCATAGCGCTCTGCTAAACCTTTTAAATTAGCCCTCCCCCTCTGACAGCTGTCATTTCAGGTGACTCAACGCAACCCTCCTCCACCCCTTTTCACCTCCTGTTCCTCTGAATCCAGGGTCAAGCTAAACCACTCCTCTTCAGACCGACCCAACTATCCATTCACAACCCCCAGTGTCTAGACCCCAGGGGGGTTTCATCGGATCGGTTCTCCCCTCCCGAATGATACTCCTGCCCAACGGGGACTAATCGCCAAAATCACCATTACATTCATTTGTGTATCCCTGGCAATAAATATGTATTCTTACATCAAAACCGTCTCTCCTGATTGTATTAACGTTGTAGGTCAAACTAACTTTAGATCTTACGGCCCGTCTACACATACATTTTAGCCGTATTGTTTTCTTGTATGTGTAACACACATCTGACAAAAGATGCGTAACAACAGTAATTATGTGTTGGGTGACCTAAACTCAGTACTGTGCATGCATACACCCTGTGAGGACACCGATGCAGAGATAAAGAAGCTGCTTCTCTGCGTAAATAGAGGTAGGAATAAAGATATAGGTAGAGATATAGATGGAGATATGCAGTTGCTGATTTTCAACAAAGTCTAGAAGACTTGTTTGATAGACAAACTTACCTTGGTTTCCCATCCACATCTGTTAGTGTCAGGTGCTTTTTCAAATCTCCCTGCTTGATCTCGAATTCTCTCTCCTCTAGGGTGATGGTTTCAAAGCTTTTATTATCCAGAAGAAAATATGTCAGCCTGGGATGAAGTAAACAAATTATTATTGCCTACTTTTTTTATTCTAGCGGTTTTATAGACCAGGCCTTTAAACAATTCATTTTAACTCTGGAAGAAAGGTCGCCTCAGTTCCTAATGTGTACTGCCAAGCACTGCTTATTATTATTCAACTATCATACCAGCATCTTCTTGCATAAACCTTCAGAAACCACTCAAACCAGTCCAGCAACATGTCAGCGTCAGTCACCCTTTATTTGTTCTCTGTAACCATTACAAAGCAGATTGACCTTTCTGATCTGCAATAGCAATAGCACAGACAGTGCTAAAATGTGTCCTTTTGTCCTAACAAGTATAAAAAAGGTTGAATAAGTGCTCATGCTAACTCTTTCTCAGTTGATCATCACACCCACATAACATGTCCTGATTTATAGTGTAAGACAAGAGAGGTAATAGTATCTACTTGGTAGTTGCTTCTTTGGATTCAGTTACTTTGTAATCTCACCTATCAGAAGAGCTTCCTTGTTCCAGTGTTGGCACAATTGGTGCATCAAGCATATCGTCAGGAGAGATGGCACTGTTGTCACTGGAACTGGTGCTGAGATCTGACAGTGGACGTGTGTTTTTACCTCTGCAAAAGCAAGTTGATTATTACATCACACGTTAGTACACGTTTCACTTGGAGGGTGAAAGATGTGCAGTTCAAAAACCTAAAGAGTTTTCTCTCAGTTATTCAAAAAGGGTACCAGACATCTTGAGATGTTTTAAAAATAGTTCATAAAAACAGCATGAGAGATACAAATCATTACCAAATCACTTTAAAGGCGCAACAGGAAATCTAATTAAGAAGCACTTTAGAAAGGAGTGTTTTGACCCATTTGCCAAATGTAGAAGAGGAAGAAGAGTCTTCAGTGTTGCAGCACAGCAAGTGGCCAGAAAACAAAAATCAGTGTGAAAATACAGAAGAATCACACAGTTTTGTGTTGAAGCATATTTCAGAAACCAAAACAGGAACAGGGGATGATTGCCTGAAACAGCAAGAAGACACACAATGTGGATCGCCTGCTGTATTGGTGATTAACACAATGTCTTTGTAAACAAGCAAGTCAAATCTGATTAGCTAAGACCTGCCCTCCTTGAGATGCTGAAGAAAACAAAAAGGTCTGAAATACTACCTTTTGCATTTTTAGGGCCTTAAGATAAGCAATTAATTTAAGAAAAACACACAAAAGAAAGATGACTTGGTGCAAAAATGAAGGCATTGTCAGTTGTATGGAAAAACTAAGGCTACAGAAAAGGATGATGTTAACACAAAATGTACTATTATTAATTGTCACCATCTGGTGAAAATTCCTGCATTCATCAGATTTTCTTTTTTCGTGCAGTCGTACATTTCACTGCATATTTACACTTACATTTATCCTATAATAGTCACTTCTGGCTGCTGTTTATGCAAAAAGTCAAACATTTCACTTTAAATTGTTACAACAGTAATTGCATACATAGATTTAAAAGCATAATGATATGCATAATAGCACGTATGAGATACAGTGTAGTCAATTTTAGTTTTTTAGGGAGCTCAGAATAATAAACAAAAACAGCTAACGGATGAGATCAGTTACACCTGACCTGTAATTCAGCTTATGTCTTTTACCGCATGCATTATCATGACTCGATAAAATAAATCTCTGCAGATGTTCTGTTTTTAAGGTATAATGTCTACCACAACATGAGCACATAAGTTGTCAAACAGGCTCTGAGGTGCTGCCTTTCTTAGATTCTTAGCTGGTCCTGGAGTGTCAACAGTTCTTTAAAAATAACTCCCTTCTTGTTGTTCGTTTAGGTGTTGGAGCCAATGAGGCCGCAGTAACCTCTGATGAGCGAGCTATTTTGGTATCTAGGGCACTGCCAAAACATGTAACACAAAGAGCATAGGGCACTGACACTGAAGACACAGTGACAAGTCAAAAATAAACACACGGCCCACAAAAAAAAGAAGACAATCTTGTATTTCATCTGTGAGCTACCTGTCCTCAGAGCCTGTCTCCTCATCGAATGGAGGAAGTGGGGAAATCCGAGTCTTCAGCTTGTCAAAGACTTGCGTGACAGACCTCATCAGGGTGCCTCCGGTCACTTGCTCAACTTCACGGTCCCTAAAAACATTTGTCACAATCACCTTCTGTTCATTTGAACATTAATCAGTGATTATTGATCATTTTGAATCTGTCCTTCTATAAAGCAAACTTACGCTGCCAGAGTCACTTGTGCATGTCTTAATTCCGTCATCAAGACATATCTGCAAGTAACAGATATTCAAAATAAGAGATGAACAAATAAATCATATTTATTATTGTATTAATGCAGGTCACAATTTCAGCATGTGTCAATTTAATAAAGTAATTACTAAGAATGAGAGTGTTTTATTTAATTTAATTAGAATGGGAAATACTCAGATTTACAATTAACACTCACACTGAGTCCAAGCTTTTGCGACGGGTGGTGCCATAGTACGCTGGTGATGGTGCTAAGTAGGCTTTGGGAGTGTCGTAGATTGCAAAAGGCTCTGCTGATGCACGTCTTCTGATATTTTCTTCAGTCTAACAGACAATCAGAAAACAATTTGTTGTACTTAATGCAACCAAGACAAAAGTCACCTCTACCATTATCATTGTAGAATACTCAATTGAATTAGATATGTGTTTAACCTGTTCCACTCTGAGCCTGTTTTTCAGGTCTCAGGCTCGAAAATGACATTCCCAGAACAAATGACCATATCTTCCCTTCTAAAAGGGTTAAATTAATAATCTTTGTTCTCAAAGTAATGATAAACCTGTGAGTTGGATGTAGAAGTGTCAGAATCAATATAAATGTTTTTTATTTTAAAGAAAATTCAGATTTTACATAGTAAAAAACTGTAAATTATAGTGTCCGTCCAAAAATTATTTTTTACAGATAGTGAAAACTACCCTTGGATGATGGGTTAGTAGACTAAAAGCTGTAGGAATCCAAAGTACAACATATAATAAGTACCCTGTATCAAGATTGATGCAAAACAAGTGAAATTTGACCTTTTTAGAGAGATTTAGCCAAAAACTGGGCCATCTGGGGTCATTTGGGTGGATTTGACCTATCTCTGGCCCCCCTTGCTCGATTTGGTTGGTTGACATACCCTTGTGACCGTTAGAGCCAATAGAATCGAAGGGGGAGGCTCCCACCCACACACGTTGTAAAGAAAAAATGTGGGCGCTTCGCGTGTGGAAAACGAAACCAATGTGGAGGAATGTCTCCTTCTGGAGTTTGGAAACTAAAACGCAGTTGTATTGCTTATGGATTATCAGAAATAATTTCAAAGAAGGCACAGACACATAGGATGAACCTATGGATTAACTGCAGCATCGTTTTTTTATCGTTTTAATGCCATTGAAGACCACTTTTGACCAAGGTAAGCCATATTTACGTGTTTAGCTTCTTAGCTCCACATGTGATGATGTACGCTTTCGTTTATAGCGTCGCGAATGTTTATCACTGAGTGTTGAGGTTTTTTACACAGATTCAGTGTCTCCAGGACACCAAAAACGAGTGGTTGGCTGTGCATCTAGGATAAGTAATAAGGGAGTTATGAGTGAGTTTAAGTGCCTTTGTAAGTTCCGTTTTTTCGATCGAGGCTAATTCAGAGGCTGAGTGCTAGCATTGTGGGGTTTTTTTGAAAAAAAAAATTAAAAAGATCAGTTAGCTGAGTTTCTTCCCGTTACATGGATATAACACATTCATAGTTTTATTCAATATTAAGATTCCTTAGACGTTGTTTCCTGCAAATGACGCGTTTATCCGCCCGGTACCGGGGGGAAGGTGTGAAACAGGTTAACAAACAAGCAAAAATATAGCACCTCTGATTCTTCAGTGTCATTATCCAAAGCATTGGACGATGGATCAGACAGGGACCGAATTTTCAGCATTGACTGAAAAATAAAATAAAACACACTCATAGCTCCTACTTGTACAAAAATCTAATATTTTTTAAATTATTCCTGCAGCAGAATGTGTTTTCTATAGAAATAAGACTTCCACCATTATTGCAGTTTATATGTTGCTTCAGCCACTTCATCTCAGTGTCCCTGGGTCTGATGCATCGGTAATACATTAAACTCGGATAAAATCGCCAGAATAGGTCATGTAAAAGTGAGGACTAAATGTAAAGGGAGGGCCCACAGATCAACAATGAGATAATATGGATACACATGTTTTTCTCCACACAAAAAGAGAATAACAGATCAAAGGAATGATTGATTGAAAGTATGCATGCATTTAGAAAGTTTTTGTTGACATTTTATGGACCAACCTGTTCAGGCACTGTGGCAGGTTCCTTTTGCCGCATAAAGGGTTTTGAAATAACCTGGTTCAACAAGAAGACAAGATTATTCAAGTCAAAAAGAGAGTTGATTGATAAGCATGGTTGATAGATTTAAACTGTATGGTAGTCGTTTTTGCACTTGTCAGAGACACTGAGGGGATTCAGACTGCCCAGGTGTTGTGATAATGAAGGCAGATGTAGATAGCAGGAAATTGATTTAAATCAATGTAAAAATTAAGTACCAAAAAAAAAAAGCTACTCATTGGAAAATAAAACATGTTTACATTCATTTGAGCCAGGCAACGAGTAATGCGAAAAACAAAAACATGATGAAGTATAAAGGAAATCGTTAAATATGTTATAAAATGTGTTTATGTCTTTCCAAGAATAAGATGAAAACATTGATACCATCACTGCGAACAATCTGTAGCTGGAGCCAGCAGTCTGTTAGCCTAGCTAGCACAGCGACTGAAAACAGCGGGGAGGAAACTAGCCTGACTCTGTTTCAAAATCTGCCAACAAACATCTTTTAAGTTCACTTACATGTTATATCTCATAGGTGCTGTATTTCTTAGGAGCACTGACTAACTTGTGTGTGTCACCTGTGTTGCTAAGCTATCTGGCTGTTAGCTTGAGCAACCTTTTTATCTTACTTATGTGAAAAGCCATAATCTTTTCAACTTACTCTTGGCAAGAAAGTTAAAGGTGGGGTAGGTAAGTTTGAGAAACCGGCTCGAGATCGCTAGAATTTGAAAATAAACAACCGGAGAAAATCTGCCACTTCCTTATAGAGCCCCTCCAGATGACATTTTTTAATGGATTTGTTGTCAAAGCACTTAAGATATTCATTGCTGGATGTTAAGAGCATTCCATGGAATATAACAAAAAGTGTATCTCGAGCCGGTTTCTCAAACTTACCTACCCCACCTTTAATAACTGTTTAAAAAAAAAAAAAGTAAGCTACTTCTGTACAGCAGTCGGTTGTCAACAGACGAGTTAAATACTTTAAATATTTACCTCTATTGTTTGATTCCCATTTGACAGTTCCTTTAGCAAAAAAAAACACATTTACATTGTAAATAGCTGATGTGATGAACAAACATAGATACAAAGAAAAGTGAAGTAGAAAAGACACTTGGTCTTATAATGCTGTTACAAATCATGATAAAGAAATAGAATCTCAATGTACCTCAGAATTCAGACATTTATGTGGCCGATTCTTCAGGGCCTCAAACAGGTCAGAGAACCAGCCGTCCACTTCCTCACTAAAGCAAGAAGGACATATGAAACACTTAAAAATCTAATTTTGAGACTCAAAGAAAATATGGCAATTACATCTATTTTAAAATTCAATTCCAAAATCCTGAGTGGAAATAGTGACCATTAGAAACCAATTTGTCTTAGCCAAGTGGAAGGAAAAGTCATGTTTTAGATGATAGACTACTAGTCAACAGGAAAGCAACATCATTATTCTTTTTTGATTGTTAGAACGCTCAAAATAGTGGATGTTGAGAAGGGCAGGGGAAAGTGTTTTATGAATAATAATTTGGTTTAAAAAATCCCCTTTGACCAATCATTACAAAGAACTAAATATCCAGCTTTAAATTGAGATATCACATTAGGTTGCTTTTTTCTTTAAATATCCACCTTTTTGTGTTTTTGTAGAGTAGAATGAAAGATTATTGAGTTTCAAGAGAGTGTGTGAGGTCAGGAGTCTTACAGCACAGTGTAGTAAAAAGCATGGAAATTGGAAGCTTCTTAATTTTTCACCTCAGTGTTTTATCGCCTGTAAAAAAACAGCTGACTGACCTTGTATCCCCGACAAGGAAGTATTCCCGGCCAGCTGCCCTGATAAAGAGCACACGTGATGGAGCACACTTGAAGCTTTTCTGGACCCATGCCCATCTCTGGTGGTTTTGAGGGGCAACAAATAACAGTGATATCCTGAAAAAGGGACACAAATGACACAAACACTGTAAATTGAGCTGGAAGGGATCTCTACTTAAAACAAATTGCTATTGCATTTAGGAGCTATGCAATACTTTAAATTAATAATTTGTCAATGAATTGGCATTGATTGATAACATACTGTGATAAGTCTATCCCTCCAAGCGGCCTGTCCCTATCATCTGGACTCCTGAAGTACTTCAGTAGGTATTCTTGTTCACTGATTTTGAAAAGCACAAAGTAACGCTTCTTCCATGATTTCTGCAGGAGAAACAAGACAAAAATAAATAATGAAATATTGCAAGAAACAACACATGTAGAGATGAAATTATTTGTATTTGTTGCTGTAAGTCTGTCACCTCTGTCTTCAGCAGTTTTTGGGGAGGAGACTTGAACAGGTATCCAGATCTCACCTCCGCTGTCTTTGCTACTGGTTTGTAGAACACCGTATTTCCACCTGAGAGCAAGAGAAAAGCCTGTTGTGTTGTGATCATTTGCCTAGATCTCATCTTTGTTTTTATAAATCCTCAACTTTCCTTCACTGTAAATTATATTTGGGGAAACCACCAAAGGAATACAACGAACAAAGAAAGAAGAACTGAAAAAATTAGTTTGTTACAAAATTAATTAAAACAATCATCTAATTAAGAAAAATAAAAAAACCTTACTATTAATGAGTGTTTTAACATTGGCACCATTAACATCAGGTTTGCATGATCAATTATCAATAACAATATTTATAAACCGGTTTCTTCTATGCAGCACCAAAATGCCAATAAGTAACTACACCTGAATCCAACAATAAAGCACATTTCCAGATGTGATACGTTACCTATGCTGTTCTGGGTTTTTGGCATTGTGACACCACACCTGAACAAAAGAACACAGGAATGTATCAGTCCCTCTCGTTTTAAAACAGCATCAAAATATCCAGAAGGAAATACTTAAACCTTTTAAACAATCAATGCAGGGTTTGAATAGGCTCAAGTCTTTGTGACAGCATTGAGCTCTATTCACAAAACAAAAGCCACGTTAGGCGCAAGTGAATGAGAAAAATAATAAGACTATATCTTCATAGTTGTAGAAAAAAAGCCTTTTATTAAACTTATTTGTTTTTAAAGTATATTATTGTCACGATCTGTTTGTGTTGTGTTTTGTCATGTCTAGATCTGTCTTTGGTTTCCTGTTTTATTTTGAAAAGTGTTCACCCCCCTTCATGTCTGTTGCTTCCTGTCTCTGTGTTCCCTCCTGCCTGATTACCCGATTGTGTTCACCTTGTGCCCCTGTTTTCTCCTCCCTCCTCACCTGTGTCTTGTTTGTGTGATTAGTCTTGTGTGCATTTAAGTTCTGGTTTTTCTGTCTGTCATTGTGAGATTCTTGATGTTGCTGGAAGGATTTCGTTCTGAGGGATTTCTACGGTTTGCTTTGCCTTATTTTACTTTGTTGCCTGGCCTAGTTCTGCAATAAAAGTATTTTGGATTTCAAACAACATTCTGCATTTGGGTCCTGTGTACCTTGCCCTCCAGCCGTGACAGAAGAATCTCACCAAGATAGACCCAGCAGATGATCCATTTGAGGTGGAATTACGTTCATTTACCTATTCATTGGCTTTCTGCTATGGTAGGTGGAGGGGAGCGTCCAGTGTTGAGCAGAAAGAGGCTGCTCTGGCAGAGGCGCACCAGATGGCAACAGAGAAACCATGTTTATTGAAGTTCTTACCTGGATGGATTATGGACTTCCTCCAGACATGTGATTCCCGGCCTGCTAGCCCCAGGCATGTTAGCCCCCTGCCTCCCAATTCCCAACCTGACACCATACGTCTCGTGTGTTCTGTCTGGAGTCAGCCCCTGCTTCTTCCCCATTTCCTGCTCCTGTCCAGGATCCGTTCTCGGGTACTCGTCTGGCTTTTGGAGGTCCACGGAGCCTCCAAAAGGCTCCTAAGAGAAGGAGTCGCAAGTCCAGGCTACCAGCCCGAGCCCCAGAAGCCATGGTTCCGACTCCAGTAACAGCCCAAGCAGCCATGGTCCCGGCTCCAGTTCCGGCTCTCCGGCCCACTCCAGCTCTCCGTGTCCTGTCGGTGGTCCGGCCCACTCCAGCCCCTCGTGTCCTGTCGACGTTCCGGCCCACTCCAGCCCCTCGTGTCCTATCCTGTTGGGGGTCCCGCCGACTACTGTTCTGCCGGGGGTCCTGCCAACCCCATGTCCTGTTCCGTTGGGGGTCCAGTCAACACTTGTTTCATCGGGGGTCCTGCCAACTCCATGTCCTGTTTCGTTGGGGGTTCCGCTGAGGGTCCTGCCAACTCCATGTCCTGTCCCGTTGGGGGTCCTGCCGACTACTGTTCTGCCGGGGGTCCCCCTGAGTTTCCCAGCCGCTGCCTTCGCCCTCGAGCCCGGCCCCCTAAATTACCCCGACGAGGCCTTCACCCCTGTCTTCGGCCCCCAGAGTGTCCCCACCGCGGACTTCCCTGCTCTGTTGCTGTTCCCCCGGGCCGCCCGCCCGAGTCCCCCTTCTCGGCCTCTGCTTTGCCCCCGGGCCGTCCGCGCGAGTCCCCCTTCTCGGCTTCTGCTTTTCCCCCGGGCTGTCTGCCAGAGTCCCTCCTCCGGTCCCCCTCCACCCACCCTGCTGGACGTTTTGGACTTTGTGTTTTTAGGGACGTCTGGGATCCGTCCCTTGAGGGGGGGGGTGTAATGTCACGATCTGTCTGTGTTGTGTTTTGTCATGTCATGAAATAGTGGCTCTGAAGCAGCTCCTGCCTGATTACCCGATTGTGTTCACCTTGTGCCCCTGTTTTTTCTCCTCATTCCTCATCTGTGTCGTGTGTGTGTGATTAGTCTTGTGTGCATTTAAGTTCTGGTTTTTCTGTCTGTCATTGTGAGATTCTTGATGTTGCTGGAAGGATTTTGTTCTGAGGGGTTTCTACGTTATGCCTTGCCTTATTTTACTTTGTTGCCTGCCTAGTTCCGCAATAAAAGTATTTTGGATTTCAAACAACATTCTGCATTTGGGTCCTGTGTACCTTGCCCTCCAGCCGTGACAATTATGCCCCTTGTAGCACTTTTAAAATTACTTTTAGTAATGAAAGGTGCTTTTACAAATAAAATGTATTATATCATATTTAAAAGATGTTTCCTGTAAAGCCAAATCGGCATTAATTAAAAAGATTAAAAGTATAAACAAACAGAATCTCAGCAGTGTTAAAACTAAAGAATATTCATCATACTTTTTGTTCGATAACAGAATTTAACACTCACTTTTGATCACAAACAAACATGTGCTGGCAAATGAACTTTAAAGTTCACAAATCAATAAAAAATAAGAATTGTCACATGAATCACTGATAACAGGAAAACAAACAAGATTCTTACCTCGGGTGTACCAGATTCTGCTCCCTCACTCTCTGTCACCAAGTGTTCAGGAAGCTGGGTGCTTTATCGTCCTTGGCAAAGTCCGACGAGAACAAGGAACTGGACTTTCTGGTTCCTTGTTGCTTTTAAGGAGCACCTGCTATGTTGTTCAGCTGCATAATTCCAGGCTGCGAAATGTCTTTGTGATGAAGTGATTGGGAATTCGAGGCGAGATTTATATTTATGCACATGATAAATATCTCTTGAAGACTGATTAGTGTGTATGGACATGCATTTAGGTGTTACCCAAAGACACAGGGTAGTTTTGGTAGGATGTAGAGAGAGTTGAGCCAGGTCATAGTAGATGGGAGATTTACAGAAAGTCAGGCTGTGTCAACTAAAGTTTTTAGGGTCAAATTTCACGTTGACAAGACACAATTAAAACAGGAAATACATGTTTGTTATTTTAAGATGCTTAAGTCTTACTGGCAAATAACCATATTCATGCTAGCAAATTTGCAAAATAGAATCCTAACCTAATTGTCTTTATGTCCTACATAAAATAGACAGACCCTAAAAACACAAAGTCCAAAACGTCCAGCAGGGTGGGTGGAGGGGGACCGGAGGAGGGACTCTGGCAGACAGCCCGGGGGAAAAGCAGAAGCCGAGAAGGGGACTCGCGCGGACGGCCCCCGGGCCTAATTGTCTTTATGTCCTACATAAAATAGACAGACATGTTTTTTATGAGCATGTGTTTTTATGAATTAGAAATAAGCAGGGTGGTATAAAGTGAAGCGTTTCTGATTCATCTTTCTGGAAGTTAAATTCAACATTTAAATGATATACTGATTTCAGGTCCTTAGTCCTTTTTCTCTAAAGTGGCTATTTCAGCTGTCACTGATTCTTTAATGTACCTGCAAATGAGCATGTCTGTGTGATCAGTTAGCACTCAGATTGAGATGTGTTTGCCTGCATTTGACCTCTCCTTGCTTTTACTTATGCATGTGCCATTTGTGCTATGCACGTAAAAGGTCATATGGGTCATGCATTTAAAACAGGCATCAGCTCAGGCAAATGTAACTGTCCCAGGGTAAAGATGCACTTCAATCACTCTGTGTTCTTGCAATAAAGCACTCTATATGAATTATACATGAACTACAAAAGCCAGATCAATGTCTCATAAACTTCACAAACTTCCTGTGTTCATGTAGGGCACCCGCACACACACATGCTCACATACAAACATCAAGGTCAGTGTCAGGTCGGTATAAATAGAGCTCCTGTGGGCTTTTTGTTTAGTAGGACATGGAATAACTCTTTCTCAAAGCGGAAAATGTGATTGGCCGTTTGCCCTTCTCTGCCAGGAACCTTGTTTTCTTCCTCTTGTCTTGTAAGTTAAGAATCATATTGTCTCCTTAATAAACCAAGGCGAATGCTTGAAGCACCAGGACAGATATTACAAGGCCACCCTGTGCCCCCCCCCCCCCCCCCCCCCCCTGTGACAGGCCTATAAAAACCCTCATGGTCGTCTTGCCACCGGTCAGTGGAGTTAACTCTACACACCCATACTGTCCAGAAATGGTAAGAAGTTGTTATTTGGTTTCTTTTTGAGAAGGAAAGCACTGTTGACCCACCAACCTTAGCCTTTTGTTTCCTTTACCTGCATTATTTGATCCTTTTCTTCATGTATTTCAAAGGAACTACTCCTGAAACATCAGCAGCGCCTGCAGAGACAGAGAGATGGCATCGCCCACAGGATGAAGAAGCTGGCAGCTAAGCAGGCGGAGATAACAGTAAGTCCAATATATTTAAACCCGGTTGAAATACAATACAGTACAACTTGCTTGCTGACATCTCTCATAACTCACTTATTTGTCACCTATTTGCTGTTAGTCAGCAGGTCAGCAGACCAACACCTGTAAAATCACACATGGTGGCATTTTGGAGGCATGCACCTCATACAATTCATAGACAAGATCATTTAATAAAGGTTGTTGGAAACAGTCACTTTCTGTGAACATTATCTTCCTAAAAATTCACAGTGTGTCCTTTGTGAACTGAAGAGATGGGATTTGTAGGTTCATGCTTTCTTTAAAACTTTTATGATTTGATTTGGGCTAACAGAGAGCATGTCCTTGTGCTACCGCAGAATTCTCCCTGCAAGGTTAAATTAATTTTGACTTCAGAAATGCTCTGCTGAACAATATCCTTTATCTGTTTTTTGTAGTTTATTTGGTCCTCCTTGTTCCATTGTCCTGTGCCTTTCCATTAACAAAGCCTTTTTCTCTTAACCTACATAACCTGGTTTATTTTAGTTTATTGCACTCTGTAGACTGTGATATATGAAAACTAATTTTGTTGATAACTTAATTGTTTCCTAATCATTTAATTCAAGTAAATTAAGTAAGATTATTCCTTAGGCAGAAACCTCTATTATTCAAACACAAATATGAAATAATTCCCTGTTCCACATTTTTTATTGTAGGGATTTGCTGTCTTTCTCATATTCTTTCTGATGTGATTATATATAGATTATTATTATTTTTATATGAATTAATGGTAATTGCCATTTTCTAATATATGTTTATATTCTTCAACTAATTGGATACTGTTTTGGACAGTTATTAAATCAGTTGTTCTCAGAGTGAGGGGTTGCTGCTTATAATTGCTACTACAGAGGCATTTTGAACTCACATGGCCCTCTCACCTCAGAAAAAGACCGATGCGGTGAAGGAGAAAATCAGAAAAAAGTATGAGGACATGAAGCGAGTCCTGGATGAGGATCTCCGGATTACACTGACCCAGCTGGACATTGAGTATGAGGCTACAGAGAAGTATGTGGAGGACAGGATTGAGGACTGCTACCACCTCACTCAGGAACTGGACCAGGAGCTGTCCAAGATTGATGTAAAAACACAAGAAATTGACATTCAGGTAAACACAAATTCACAGTTCTGGTCAACCTCCATACAGTTGAGGCCAAATTATTAGCCCCCCAGGAGTTATGGAACATTTTCCTAAAATTCTTCCCAATGTTTCCAGCATTGATAAAACTTGATATAATCAAACATTCACCAGTGCTATTTAGTAGCTTTTGGTACATTTTGGAAAATAAAATACGTTTTTAGGCTTGCTTTATATCAAATATAGTGAAAAATGGGTTGGTCAAAAATATTAGCCCCCATGTGAATGTTTGCTTTCAAAACACACCTAATCAATCAATCAGCTTTCAAACCACACCTAATCAACCAATCGGCTTTCAAGCCACACCTGAGCATTCAATCAGCATAAAAGGACTCCAAGAAACAGGCACTTGAATACCGGGACTATACTACTCCTACTCACCATGCCAAAGACAAAGGAAATCAGTCTTGAGCTCAGAAAGAAGATAGTGGAGGCTCATGATAAGGGGGAAGGCTATACTGCTAGAGGCCTTCAACCCTAAGAACACATCATGCTGTGGGGCTGTTTTGCAGCCTCAGGCACAGGGAGCCTTGTTCGGGTGCAAGGCATCATGAAAAATTTAAATTATGTTGACATTTTGAGGGATAATATGAAAAAATCTGCTCTTAGTCTTCGCTTAGGTCGTCGCTGGGTCTTCCAACAAGACAATGACCCAAAGCACACATCACAATTGGTCCAACAGTTCCTAAAGGACACCAAAACCAAGGTGCTGGAGTGGCCCGCACATAGCCCAGATCTTAATCCTATTGAGAATCTGTGGCGGGTGCTCAAAGTGAATGTCCATGCTCGGAAACCACGCAATTTGGACCAGCTGGAACAATTTGCAATGGAAGAATGGGCCAAAATCCCTCAAGAGACCTCTGCCAACCTAGTAAAGAACTACTCTAAGAGGTTGTTGTCAGTTGTGGCTCAGAAAGGGTACACTATTGACTATTAATGGCCTGGGGGCTAATTTGTTTTTGACCAACCCATTTTTCACTATATTTGATATAAAGCAAGCCTAAAAACTTATTTTATTTTCCAAAATGTACCAAAAGCTACTAAATAGCACTGGTGAATGTTTGATTATATCAAGTTTTATCAATGCTGGAAACATTGGGAAGAATTTTAGGAAAATGTTCCATAACTCCTGGGGGGCTAATAATTTAGGCCTCAACTGTATGTGTGTCTTGAGCTGTTTTTTCAGCGTGATTAAGATCAGTAATGATTGATTCTTCATTTTCTACAGAACGCTGAAACAGAGAAAAAGTATGTTGACATTTCTTGAAAAAACAGCTTGCTACAAAATCATACATTTAAGCTGTGCATGAATCATCAATTTATTGTTTCTTCTGAAATTAGAATATCTGAGACTCTGAAGCTGACTGACCCGGACCGGATTCAGATGGATGAGTTCAAATGCGGACAACTTCTGAGTCTCACTATCAACCTGCTGCTGTTCATCAGATCCCAGGTCCCCGTCACCAAGAAACTATTTCAGACCTGTGAGTGAACCCAATAAAACAAGCATGTGGGTTGAGATGTCAATTATTGCTTCTGGCTATGTCACTGGAAACTGTCGATCAGTATGCCGTTCTTGTCAACCTCTTTGTATCGTATGTGAATGTATGAGGAGGACACACGAGTCACTGAATGTCTCTGGTTACACAGATGCTGCAGATGTTGTCCTGGACGCTGACACTGCTCACCCCAAGCTGATCATCTCTCCAAAAGGCGACTCAGCCACCTTCACAGAGACCTGGCAGGACGTCCCAGAGACTCCCTCCCGTTTTGAAACCACCTTAAATGTAATCAGCAGGGAGGGCTTCAGCGAGGGCCAGCAGTACTGGGAGGTGGATGTGAGGGGGAAGACCTACTGGGAGCTGGGGCTCACCTACCCCAGCATCCCGAGAAAAGGCCGAGAGGAGGACTCGTGGCTGGGCCGGGGCAAAGAGTCTTGGTGCGTGGAGTACTTTAATGGAGACTACACAGCCTGGCACGGTGGAGTCCAGCATACACTTCCTCTACTGGCAGGAAAACAGTTCACTCGCATCGGGGTGTACTGCAGCTTCCCCGGGGGGGTGGTGTGCTTTCTAGGAGCGGACACCATGACCCCGCTGCATTGCTTCTGCGCTGGGACCTTCACTGA